GGTTGAAATAACGGTCCCGTCCCTTGTCGCCCCCTCCGCTCCCCCCCCAAGGGCACGATGAACGAGGAGCAGTTTGTGAGCATCGACCTGGACGATGACAACGTCTGCAGCATCTGCAAGCTGGGGACCGAGAAGGAAACGCTGTCGTTCTGCCACGTTTGTTTTGAGCTGAACATCGAAGGTAACGTTTTCGTACGAGTCATCTTGTGCGAACTTCATTCGTAGACAGCTTAGCTTGGAGCTGAAGGCAGGTTGAGTTTATCTGAAAGTTTTCATAAAGGCTTAGGTTTGAAAACGTGTGTATTTTGAAAGTTTTCTTGCTGGCCAAACTACTTTATTAGGTTCCTAAATAGCTCATTTCCAGTAAAGGTGGGTGCCCTAGGTGCGCTAGCGCCTGCTCCTCCAGATGTAAAGGTGTACACACACACACCTGCCTTCAAGAGCTCCTGAAATGCCCTGGTGTTAATTTCACCTTCTGGTATTAGACCTCTGGTGTTAATTCAGATCGGAAGCTTTTGTTCTGCCTTTATTCAGGGTTTTTCTTCAATAGTTAGAGGGGTCTGTGTATAAAACTTACTTAAATTGCAAGTCTTAAAGCATAATAGTTTTTTTTGGAAGCAGATGAATGTTTTACTTTCACTAGAAATAATCAGAGAGTTATTTTTGCTTTCATAAGGTGAAAATACATGTAATATGATAAAACTGGGTTCATTGTCAAAGCTTCTTAAAGTTTGCAAACTATAAAGTAGGAATTTTGTCCATCTTTTAAAAGACTAATCTTGTAAGCATCGTCTCTGGCCTCCAAAATGGTATTTTTGGAATTTCAAACCTTGTTTTGCTGAAGAATTTCCTCATCTTGTTGCTCTTCATGTATGAATCAAGAGTTGGGCATGAATGAGCAGTAGACTAGTTAACGTCCCTTTTTTAAGTCATAAGGATTTTGTGAAAGTCAAATAAGGATTTTTTTGAAAGTATAAATATTGCTGCTTGATTTTTGGGGCAACAAAGTAATTTGTTCCGGTTATATAAAGTGGTATTTGCTAATTGTACATGCATGTGACGACCTAGAGTAATCTATATTGGTATGGGGCAATTGAATATGAAGATCTTAATGCTGTTACGTGAATAGTCCCATTTCTTGATGACAACAGGGTTTGTTGTGTCTCTGATACATATGAGAGTACACTAAAGGTCTTAAGATCAAGTCTTTCGAAGGGTAATGTGCTATGAGATATGAGCACTGTACCCAGTGATCTAGTTGCTTATTCTGAACCCTAGAAGCATAAAACTGACTGGAATGTAGGGGGCTGTAAGGATATGTATTCTATACACTTTCTATTATGCATCTGACTTTTAATGCCTGTATAGATAATAAAATTTTGTTCTTGCCTTACAGAAGTCTGAAAAATGCATTAGCAAGTTGGAATCACTTTTAAATACTGACTCAGTACTGTGTTTTGATTTTTAAAAAAAAAAAGTGATGCCTTTAAGGTCTTTCTTGCTCCTAGAGGCAGTATATTTTAATCTGAACAATATTTTCATACTTCAGTAGTAATTTGCATGCTTTACGCTTTTGTTTAGAAAAGACATGCTTGTGTATTGGTACTTTTTGATAAAACTCAGCACAACTATCTAACCTAAGACAACCTGTCAGTCTGCTTGAGTTTTCTTACTGCTTTAAAATGATAGACTTATGGTTCTCAATATGGAGTTAAGATGTTTCTCTCTCTAGGCTTTAAAATGAGAAAAAAAACATATTGCCGTAATGAGAATTAAGTACTTTGATTACATTCAGAAACTAGTTTTGTTTTGGAAGTGTTGAAACAAAACAAACAGGATGCATTAAAAAAATTGCTGGATGGTTTCTATGCTCCGTTGTTTAAGATAAGCTGAGGATTTGTCAAAGTTACTTGTTATGGATACTACTTTACAAAATTTTCATGCATTTTAGATGGAACAGCTTTTTTTTCTGGAACTCTAAGTAGACTTGATAACAGTAAAGACTTAATCTGTGCAGCAGACCACTTTGCATAATCTTCTAAATTTTCGGTTAATTTTAAAAGAAGACTACTTGAACAGAATACTGATGAAAGCTCACCTGAAATTACATGAACCATTATATTCTTAATCTTTTATTTTGCATAGTAAAAGAAAAGTATTAATCTTTGGTCATTATAGCATCAAAATACCTCAATGTCTGATATTCTGTCTTCTGTGTACCACTTTGAAAAGATGTACTGTTACTGCTTTTATAGGGAGAGAAGGCTTAAGGGCGGCAGAGGTTGTGTAAGTGACTTTGTAAAGAATCATTATAAGACTTTTTAGCCGAACCATTATGTGAGCCGCCTTTTACCATATCCATGGTCGCACTCTTCCTGTATTTTCCTGTGACAAAGACTATGATTTATATACATCTAAAATAACAATCTGTTGGCAGCCCTGGGTAGGGAAAGAAATGGGTAATTCACTAACTCAGAATGTTACACTGGATGTTTTCGTACTAACCTTCTGCTTGTATTTTAATTAAGTTCAGATGCATTATAACATAGCTACTTGTTGAACGGAGTCAACTGTAAGTTGTATCAACTTTGTAGATGTGCTATCCCACACTTACAAATAAGTGTCATTCTCACTAATAGTTTGCCTTTTTATTTAACATCGTATTTAAAAATCCAAGCCATTAAAACATGTACATATATTTTTAAGTAATTCAGGAAGTGAAATAGGCTATTCTAAAAAGATACTCATGTAACAGCTAGGACAGTGCTTAAGGCTTGCTCATTTTTAGCGTTGATGTGCATGTGTAACTTCTCCCTTAGTGAAGTAGGAAATAGCTGCTGCTCAAGAACAGGCAGGCTATTAGTCACAGCTCAGCATCTTGCAGGATGGTTAAGTACTCCCACTGTTTGCAGAACCCTGTTAACTTCCATGTGTTAAGTGCTGCCTGACTTAAGGGGAATGTGTACCGCCTCTTCCATCTTTCCTGACCATCCAGTCCTCGCTGGGAGGTGGGTCAGGGTAGAAGGGAGCATTGCGGATGCATGTGCAAGGGCATATGGTGGACTTGGCAGTGTTAGGTTTACGGTTGGACTCAATCTTAAAGGTCTTTTCCAACATAAATGGTTCTGTGATTCTATGTATGAAATTCTGGAAGTAGATTTCCCAATTTCCTTTTTTAAAAGGGTGTCATATTCTAGTGCTTTAGCAAAACTCAAGAGAACAGTTTTGTTTCCCTTGTGCCAGCATCTGATTGCTTAAAGCTGTCTATGATAAATCCATGCACTTGAAACTGATCTAGCCCAAGGCTTAACCACCTGCACCCCCTCTGAAACAGACTTTCTCAAATGTACATAAACAAAACACTACAGGAATATAATTTACTTAGCTGCACTTAATTACATTATAGTTTAGTATAGGTGAATCTTTGTGTCTTCTGACATCTGTGAGTTCAACGGCTGTACAAGGTTACTTGTGTAGATGGTAACGTTGTTGATTGTCTTGATTAAGTAAGATGAGTAATTAGAAATGAGCAAATCAGAGACCATCCCCATCTGTAATGACTCAACAGACTTCTTCCTGGATCAGTGTTGTGATGTGTCTCAGCCTTTACTTTCCTGACATTGGGGTGGTTTTTTGTAGCCTTTATTATGTTTGGACAATAGCTCAATAATGATACATAATTAAAAAACAAATCAAGTTATGCTTATAGTCCTTTACAGAGAAGACTGCTATACAGAAAGCTTAATCTATGGTCTGCCTTAATTAAATAACTGCTGAGTTTCTGAATGAGGAAGTTAGTTACTGTGTCATAAAACCTTTATGTTTTTTATCAGAAATCAGGTCTCCATCATAATTGTTTTTAATACTAGATTTTTAGTCTTTTAATGAAATAAAATTATAGCTTAGCCTAAAATGTGATTATGCTTCTTACTAAGTTCAGTTAATTCGGAGAAACCACTGGTTTGAGTGCAGTTTGGAGTTCAGCTGTGGTGTCTGTCCCAGAGCTTATTGAGGAGTGATGTTGTGTATAGGTTATAGGTCTGTTTCTCTGAAGTTGACTGAAAGAGTGGTAGCAAAGGGAGGAGAAAAGGGAAAATGGGCATACAGAAGAAACAGAAAGCCAAGATGCAGGTTTAAACTTTCTCCTATTACATGTCATCAACCTTTCTTGAACAGGGAAAGAGTAACATTCTTAGGAGAGTTTAGTAGTGCTAATCTTCAGTCTAAACGGTGGCGGGGGGGAGAGGTGGTGTGTCTTGAAAGGACAGTATTTTTGTTCCTGTTGCACTTGCTCTTCAGCTCACTTAGTTTGAGGATTCATGCTCAGGGAAGCTGAGTGGACTAAGCTGCAGATAAATACTTTTATTGCAAAACGAGCTTTTGTGTCTGAAGGATCATTTTTGAGTGATTTAGCACAGCAGAATATTAATGCGATTCTTAAACTTTAAAATATGCAAAGTATTTACATATGAAATACTAAACATTTTGAGAAACGAAGCTGATTCTGTACAGTGGTTTTAAAGTTCTGGATGGGGTTTAGAATATCCTGGTGGTGTGAGTCTGCTGGAGTTTGATGTTGGCTTTTGTTTGCCTTGTGCAGGCAAAGTGAACATCAGCAGAGACTGTTGTGTACTGTTTTGTTTTTCTGAGTAGGTGTCACAGTAGTAATCTGTGGATTGAAACAGGAAATGTTTTAAATTCATATGTAACTGGATTACAGAAGCCAGACAATCATGTGTTGTGTGTTAGTTTGAGACAAATTTCTTCTCTTTTAATTTCATTCTAATACGGGAAAATTATTAACTGAACTCTGGTAGCAAATATATAATACTAACAGCAGATTTGCAGTTATAACTGGAGGGTGGGGGGAAAATACATGAACACACAAAAATATATGTGTGTATGTATAAAAGCTGTCTGTATGTGTATATATCAACAAAACAAACCCCTCTGCCTGAATATGGTGTCCCTACAATCTGCTTTGAAACTCCAGTTGTAGGGTTTCCATGTGAGAATGCGGTGCTGTGGGGAGATACCTGACTGTGCTCTAATTCTCCTATTAGGAGGCTGTAACCGTCTAGCCTGTGTTTCACAGAGCACACAGCGGCAACTAGAGTGCTAAGCAGTTGTGCTGCTTGTGGTGCTGCTTAGAGTTGTTTAGCTATCTTCACATGGAAATGC